GCTGACCTTTAAACTGAGAACAAACAGTGGATGGCTACTCTTGGTCAAACGAGATTTGCGTAGCACTTTGGCGTACGTGATATATCCAACAAATGATCGCAGAATGTCTTAGGCTAACTACGATAAACTCATCATGGAGGTAGATTTCCAATGTACTAGAAAAGAAACGCGAAAATGGTAATGGAATTAATCCCATCGCTAGAAGAGGGTGATGGAACGAAAGATGGATAACAGCAGGGTAGCTCCTGCTGAAGACAGAAAGAGAGAAAGAGCGAGCCAGAATAAGAACCGTTTTTCGTACAAAAAGATCCATAAAAGTAAGATATTAGAAAATTTGAAAATCGAATCTTCGAACACGAATTCAAGAACGTAGATAGTCCATTTCGTTTTGGAAGCGCTGTTAATGGCATCGCATGGACTGAACTTTAAAGTCTCCGGAAAGGTGTCGCGAAGATACCACGAAGATGGTGCAGATTCGTGCGGCAAACATCGACGTCGAGAGAGGGTTGCTTGTTTACAAGCGACAGTTGATTTGACAAAGCCGCGGGTCCATTTATACGAGTGAATATTACAGGGCAAAGTCGAGGGGTGGCTTGTTATCCGCTCATTGAAGTTAACCACGGGGCTAAGTGCGCCGGGGAGTGCCGGCCGGGAGGAGCAAGGAGAACCGGCGACTAAAGGTTAGGTATACGACACGATGGTGGGAGCGAGCTTACGGTTTGCAGCGTGGAGGGCGGAAACGTTGCGAGAAAGCGAGACGAACGAAGGGCTACTGCTAAAACGAATAGGAACGCCGGATAAAGCGAACGGGAGAGAGAAGGTAAGCGAAATGGGCTAAGATAGAAAGGAATGAAAACAGGAAGCTGAAGTGAAATAAACTGAGAGGGAAATGGGGTAGCGATGGATACGACACCCTCGCAAGTTACATCGATATTTTTAGGAGCTAGCATGCATAGTCGGGTGCAACTTAGAATTTTTCCATCGGTTAAGGGTTATTTAAGCCCACAGTGTCCCGTCATTTATTTCCCTATGTTCATCATGTACTGTAGCAAAAGGGTTTAGATTTTGCTGACCTTTAAACTGAGAACAAACAGTGGATGGCTACTCTTGGTCAAACGAGATTTGCGTAGCACTTTGGCGTACGTGATATATCCAACAAATGATCGCAGAATGTCTTAGGCTAACTACGATAAACTCATCATGGAGGTAGATTTCCAATGTACTAGAAAAGAAACGCGAAAATGGTAATGGAATTAATCCCATCGCTAGAAGAGGGTGATGGAACGAAAGATGGATAACAGCAGGGTAGCTCCTGCTGAAGACAGAAAGAGAGAAAGAGAGAAGAGAGTCGGTGGAACAGCGACGGGCCAATGAGAGGCCAGATCGTTGCCGAGGTAACCGCGGGGCTTTTCCGACGGATTATTCGACCGAGATTGAAAAGTTAGCGCCGTGGTAGCGGGCGGGGGCGGTGATTCGTCGACGGAGCCACTCTTGCCTTTCCCGGAACGAGCGATCTCCTCGCGGCAAGGCTAACACAACGGATTAAGGCTTATTTTCGCGTTCACGGCAGCTCGACTCCCTTTTTACTCGATCCTATTATCTTACAATGCCAGCATTCGCGTTAGCACGCTCATTTCTCTCGGATTGCTTCCATCGTTCAGCTTCTGATCGATAATCGATCGTCGAGTTTTTTGGAGGGGAAAGGGGCAATGTAAAAATATGGTTTATGCATCGTGAAGAAAAATTCGCCTTTTACAATTTTTCTTATCAAAGTTATTTCTTTTTTTATCGATTCGCGTTACACGGACTTCGTTGTAAAGATTACGAAACATTCTGGTATCTAATCGATTTCCGATCGATATCGCAACTGACCTCGTCGATTCCTTGATCCACTTATTTGTCCTTGTACCATTTCAATTACGGATCACTGACCATGAACCTCGGTTTTAATTGGTCAGTCTCGACGAGGATTCGAAGGAAACACGTTTCATGTCGAGAATCTTTCGATTTCTCTATCGAAATGTACATAAGTACTTACTACTTCGTCGAGTTTATCTCCGAGATCGTCGACGAAGCGTTCATTCGTCGGTGACGGGTCAAGCGTGAGTACGTCCCGGAAAAGTGTTTATTTCTGCATGTACACGATGCACACGGTGCACGTCTAGCAGGCTGCTTATCCGGTAACCACTTCGGGGTTACCTGACACGTGCATAATTAATGCCCGCGATGATGAGAACGCGACACTACCGTGCATCCACACGGGCTATCTGTGTCGACGAAATAAAATGAGAAAACGAAATATCCACCAGTCAATCTCGGAGAAATTGAGAACAGAACTGGACACGCCCGAGAATGAGATCGTCTTCTAAACGTACCGATATGATTCGACCGACGAAGGAATTTCATGGTATAACTTGTTTATATATTACTCGTATGTTCTGGAAAGGAGGCGACGATGAAACGAGAAAAATAAACGCATCGGAAGAACGAAAGAGCGATTTTTACCGAATGGATGCTGAGGAGAAGCGAATGAAAGACCGAGGGACAGAGAGGTAAAGAGGACGACGAACAAGAAAGTTGTCCAAGTAACCGACGTGGAAACGCGGGGTAATGACTACTTTTTCATATTTTAATTACGCAGTAATTAATTGAAATGTTTCCTCGTTCGCGAGGGCACTCGAGCAAAATGAGAGGCGAGTAACTTGCCGGAGTCGACTTCGACTCGTTTCTTCTTCTTCTTCTTCTTCTGTCTTTTATCCCCTTTCTTTCGCGGGGCGCTCCTCCGTCTTTGCTCTCCTTCCCCTCAGAATTTCCCGTTTCCTTCGTTCTTTTACCCATTCTCGCGAAATTAGGTAGAAATCTTTTCACGAAGCTCGCTTCCCTCTTTTAAAAATCCCAGCTCGTAGCTAATTGTATCAGCTAATGGCTTTAACGTGAAAGGATTCCTCTGATATCGTTCCTCGTTCCACCGTATCTCTCTCCCCTCTCCTATTATCAGCGATCCCGCTTCGTGTGCACCCTGCTTTAAGTACTAATTAAATTAGTTTCGTAAAGCGAAACTCGTCGGCCAGACTTTCGAGGTTATCGATTCACCGCGATCATTAAAATAATTACAAATGCTCGCCAGTAATTGCACGGATATTCCGTTGACTTAACGTTATAGGCGTCGTTGGATGTTTATGCATTTATCGCGTAAATATGTGCTATATCGAATGAAGACAAATACAGAGGATAAGATGACCCTCACCTTTTGACACCTTTTAATCCTTGTACCAATAATGATTTGCGATGAAATTGAGATATTTTAAAGTGACTCTAAATTCCCTTTTTATTACACAATTAAAATTTTCTACTTGGAAACTCGATTCCCACAGCAGACGATATTCAGCCAACGATTATGTGGTCATATCGCGACGCGTTACGTCGCCACGTTAGACACGTAACACTTGTTAACTCTCGAGTTTACTAATATTATCTAGAATCTGATATCAATCGAACCACACATTCGTCGTGGAAATGTATCGCGGTGAATTCACGTTGGCGAATGTTCCAGTCATTTTCCAGCAAATTAATCTTCAGTAGTTTTCTCGCGTTTCCTAGAAGGTTACTTGCCAGCGAGCACGCCAGGGACCGTTTCAAGCTAGCTGTCTCGATATCTCGAGATTCCGCGGAGAATGCTTCGTTACTCGTTATCCGACGCTGAAGCTAGTTCAAGTAGCGAAAGAACAATAGCAAGAGGAGCAGTAAGACGAAGACAAGAAGGGAAGACCAAAACGAGGACTGGTTGGCAAGCTTTTGTTAGCACGGATGCTTCTTGTTACGTGCAATTGTCATCAACTTGTTTCAGCCATTGTTTCCGGTAACTCTTTCGCGGTAACGAGGAGGAACCTCAATTAGAACGGTTTGAGGGCTTAAACGCCCAGAGGCTGGCGAGCTTTAAGAGGCAAGGATGCACCAACACCGTTACTGGAACACTGTTTCTTTTGAGCGATAACTCGGTGATATTTTTTTAACTGTATCGGTGCTGCTAGTGGATGCAAGCCATCCGTCGACTTTCTTCCACGAGATAATTACTAGGTATGCTCGAGGGTATGATACCATTACTCTCTTCAACAACGAGTCTTCGTTAACAAACTCACTGGCTTTCGTGGTGTAAATTGCAACCACGATATTTTGGAAACTGCCGCAGCGTCGTGGCAACAAAACTTATACCCGAAGTCTATGTTTCGAAAGTATTGAAAATTTTGGCAAACTTTTAGAATGCGGTAGTACATAAGAAGAAGATAAAATATAGGTAATTGTATGAGAATTTCAAATACATAATCTACTTGAAAGGGCTATTCGCTTACCAGTAGTCTTCCAAACAACGCTCGATTCGATCAATTGTGGCAGGGTGGATAATAGAAACGCATGCCTCTACCTCTCGTCTGATATCCTGTTCGCTAAACAAGGCCACGCTTTGAAGTTCAAATTGAAATAAATCCTGTTACCGCTTCGACATTAACCCGGACCGTTAGTAACACCATTGAAAGCTTCCAGCCGTTAAAACCCCTATTTAAACCTCTTTACGATCCACGAAACGTGCACCGTCCGTGCACTATGGACATCAAATGGACTTCTAGTCTCGTTCTATCCGTGTAACGAGTCATTTGCTCGGAAATATTAATGGTAGGGAAAAAATAGGCAAGTTCGCGATGGGTTGGTTGAACGCAATCAATATTTGTATCATCGCTATGTGACCACAGAGGAAACTATACTGTGTATACGGTTCGTGTGTACGTACGTACGTGCAGCTATATTGTTCGCTATCGGAAATCCATCCGAATATCTGGAATTTTTTTCGGCAGCACGCGCGGTTCGTTTTATGATCGCCTGTGACACGCAGTCGAAATTAAGATGTATGGAAGACAACAAAGCACCTTCGATAAAACTTCCAAGCCTACGCGAAGAAAAAACATTGTATCTTGTATATATACTTTCGTTTTTTCGGAAATGTTTCATCCAAACTTCCAAGTATTTCGCGAACGTAACAAACGATAGTAGTCGATCGAGACATGGTCTTCGAGGGCTTGGTGGTTTACTTTTACGGCGCCCTTAGCAGAACCTTAAATTCTTATCTTCGCGAAGAACGCAAGGAATAAAGATCGAATAAACGGTTGCTAGGCTCCTGTTATCCTGGCTGGAATGAAACACCGTTATTCCGTCATCGAAGTCCTGGAACCGCGGAAACCATGGACAAATTGTTTGCGAGTTATACAGTCCTGGTAAGGTGGATGCTTCTGGCGCCATGCGGTTGACGAGTGACAGAACGTTGACGGGTTCTGGCAGGACACTGTGCATCTTCGATGGGGGATGAAAACATTCCGTTCGATTCACCGAGACGAAGTTCAACGTTGCATGAAGTCCTGGTCAACGGAATGCTTGGCGTTCGAAAGCTGCTGGAAGCTCGAGGAACGATCTTGAAAGCTTCCGACCATGCTCGCATGATATCCTAGTGACATTGGATGTTTGTAAGATACGAGCGCACGTTGTCCCAAACTTGTCGATTAATATTTTATGACATTATAATTCATTCTTTCTATTTCATGTTTCTTTATAAAAGAAATTTTTCACTGGAGATTACTGAATACTAATTAATTTTGTATTCGTTCGACGTCAACCGAAAAGTAAAGCTAATTATAAAATTCGCATCTCTACTGTAGAACAAGTTGCACAATATGCATCCTGTAATAGACTAGATTCGTTGACGAAATGGTTATCATGAACTTAATGCTGAGAGCCAGTGGAACCGTTTTCTTACGAATACATCAGAACAATAAAAAAAGCAAATTCCTACAAGGTGGTTACGTAGAATACGAAGAACATTTAGAACTATTCGCAAGGATGTTTTTACCATAATCGTGATCTAGAGTCCAGATGTGGTTATTTTTCGTGTCAATTTTGATCTCTTCGAGTCAATCATAACATACGAGCGTATACGTCATCCCCTATATATATGTATAGTATGAGAAGCAATTGTAGCTCCAACAAAAAGAGATACCTAAATAAGTATGTAGGACATGTTGGTTACAGAGTATGCACTTAATTTTCAACGCATACTCGTGGCGTTCGTAAGGGATAGGAATGCAGGTGTTTCAGCAGGACAGCGTCGAAGGTCGAGGACATTCTGCCGTATGCTATTCGTTTCCTTCTATCCTAATACTTCAGCTTAATTTGGCTTTTGAAGTCCTTCCAATAGTTTGGCTTGCGCCTTATTGCTTATACGTGTTGATTTGTCTATAAGGCAACTGCATTCTGTTATTCATACAGATCTAAAATTTTGGAAAAAATTCCTGAATGATAAGTACACATTATCCGATTGTGTTAACGATCTTAAAATGATATTAAATATTCGGTGAATTAGATAAATGGACTATTCTTAATAAATGTTTCAAGTATGCATTATTTTCACTCATCAGGTAACTATGAAGAATTTGATCCTTTCATGTCACCTTCTCGCAAAACTGTTGCCCTGAGATCATAGCAAAGACTTCTACGTATAGGTACCATTTCAACACAGATTTCAAAAACTTTTTTATTTCAGTTCATGGTGTATAGCGTATAGATACCTAGAATATTCTTTTTCTTCTTAACGCAGAAATTACTTGCGAACCACCTCCGTTTGTCCATGTTTTCCTAAACTTCAACTTCCTGTTTCCTTCCGGCATCTATGCAGTTTTACGGAAAACATTTCGGATCGATAATTAATTGGACCTATACATGTTTTAGATTAATTAAATTATTTTCATGATAAGTTCAATTTATTAGATGAATAATTAAAATTTAGTCAGTTATTTGTATTCTTTGTGTAAGGTAAGATTTTTTAACAACGATTTCATTATTTTAATGAAATGAATATTAATCGTACGATTATTCAAAATTGAAAATAGAGAAAATCTAATGATTCGATGATAGTTATGATTCAGGTTCTTATTCGTTGTACTTTCCTAATATAAGCGACGTCAATTGCAGCTTGACAATCACCTCTTCAAAAAAAAAAATCTTACTAACCATAGGGCAGAACAGACAGGATCGCATCCTATGTAGCAAGGTCTATCCACATTCTAGAGCCACATGCAACTTGTCCGATTCTATACCTTCTTGATCCGGAAATATGCTTCGCGTTTGAGGCAATTATCCTTGTTAATGTAGGCATACATCTTTAATTTTGGTCAATTTTATGTTCTCTTACAGTTGTAACAAATATTAAATAAATGTAAATAACAAAATAAATATTTTATCGTGAAAATACGTTGTTTATGAATTGTTGCTTACAATTTATTACTACGTGAATCATTGCATTTTTTTAATAAAGAGGATTGTACATATATCGTTTGCGTTGTTACGTTGCGAAAACGGGATGCCTCGTGTGCCAGGATAACAGAACATGCTAGGAACGGCTCCTTTTCTACCCTCATAGGGGGTAAAATAGTGGCGACAGTTCACTTAATACATTAATACAAGATCACTTTCGCTACAGCAATCAAGACGTTAAACAAAGGTATATGTTGGTTCGGGTATATGCACATCATTCGATATAACGGAATCGAGATCATCATCTATTTCAAATTCAATGTCCATTGGATCGATTTCCGGCGGAGGTCTTGGTACTCTCGAAACCCAAGGTGGTATTGAACGCATTAGACATGATTCTACCTTTTCACGAGTCTCTTTTTCATCTCCGTTTCCATCAATTTTCACTGCGGATTCGCCCGCATATTGCATCATATCGATTACGTGTTCTTCATGCTCTTGAATCTATAATTGTCAATTACAATCAAAGAATTACTTCTAAAGGAAGTATTCTACTTTTACTTACATCTCGTTCAACGATCAATCTGTAATCGTTAGGGTGAACACCTAATTCTTGGTTATCCGTGTCAACGCGATCTTCATTAGATAAGTTATGCTTGCTGCCAGTGAAGACATTGTAACGACGATTGAGCAATCTTTCTCTACAGATATCGCTGTTCACTTTCACAAATATTACCCTAAAATATTCAACTCGTTATATAGTTATTTCTCATCAAATAATCAGCTAATTCTACCTATTCGGCGGAGTAGGATTCAAATCCAATAGCTTAAAATCTTCCACAGTCTTTGGATATCCAGTCAGAACCCAGCCTCTTTTCAAACACTCGTACTGGACAATATGTTTCTAAAAATCATAATGTTGTAACAGAAAGTTCTAATAACCGTAGTCTTCCGTACTTCGACAATCCGTATTCTAATCTCCGGCTTGGATCTTCGTCCCCATTTGTATTCGAACAATCGAAGCATCTCTCCTACAGAATTCTTTTGTAGACGCGCTTGTTCTTCGATGTAATCGTAATCGACTAAATTGAAGGATGCAGAAAATTATTTTGTTCACATGGACCTATCTAAAGGTAACCTATCCTAAAAGATGAAAATTACTGTGAACGAGGTTGAATCGTTCGGCCAAGTATATTCCTAATGTAGTACAACCGGATCCTCTTGATCCAATGAGCAGGATGCGAAAGAGTGACGGCGCTCCAGAATGTTTCTTTATCTTTGTCAATTTTGCGCAATCCTTTCCAAGTTCGTCGATGGTCCTAATACCAACTTCGACTTCCTTGAATAAATCGTTATTCTAACTGATCAAGATATTACGCTTATAATATTGAATTAAATACAAATTCGTAATGACGAGTAACTAACAACTAGCAAATTATTGTATGCTTCTCGCAATCCTTGTAAATTTTTCAAGTAAAGCTTATTTTTCGATTTTTTCGAAGCTTTTGATGACGCATGAAATTGTTGGCAACAATTATCCTTACAAAAATTTTCCCAGTTTTCTACGAATAAGAAAAACGTAACAATTTGTTAAGTATGTATTCGACAAATTTTTCGTTTTTACCAAATTCGCTTGAAACTATAAGATGTATCACGTGACTTGGTATTATGCCGACACGTTGAAATATTTTCGCTTCGTTTCTTGTCCTTGGTAAATCTATATAACAAATAAATGTTACGTTATGAATTTTTTTTTATTTACAAATTTTTATTTACCTATGAGCAGCCATCCGCATTCGTGTAAACTTCCACTTTCTAGAATCTTTCTCATAGCTAATGCAAGATCTTCCGATTCCTCGCAGTGACAAATGTTCTAACCAAAAGGATTTCGTTAAAAAAAGATAAAGAAAGGTTACCTCTTTTGCTTACAACATCATCTTGGCAACATGCATTACGAAGATCTTTCAAAGTCAAGGGACAAACTCCTAATTCCTCCTGAAGTACTTTGGCTAAAGCCAACTTATCTGTATCCATAAAATACTTTTATTCGATCATAAATATATTTTTTGATCATTTCAATTGATTACCAAAATTTGGAGGTGCGATAAGAACGATCTTTGGAACATCCAGCCTTTCCGCAGCAAGTTTAAGATATTGCTTCATAAATACGAGATGATCATCAGGTTTTTGAATTGCTAATTGGGTGGCAATTTCCTGTACATGGTTTCTTTTTAAAAACAACTAAAAAACCTTTATCAAGTCATCGTAAAAATATTTACGAAATATAAATTATTTACATAAAATAATTCATATATGCGGTGCTTCTCTAAATACGCTAAAAACTGCGCGTTCATCAGACCCACTCTTTTTTCTGTTTCCTGTAATCCCGCCATGGCATATGATTAAAATTTTCTTGTAGTAAACGTGCCTTTTATTTTATCCTGTTCATTGAGTGTCTCCTACATGTGCTCACTTCAATTGTTTAATCAGTTGTAATAAAATATAGATTTATAATTTAATATTAGATATTAGTTATTTTTCTACATTTTCAATGTTGTATAACCTACGTCATTGCTTTTTAATATTTTCTTTCCGAATAATACATCTATCAATATCTGTCAATTACTGCAATATGTTAAAATATGTGGAAACTTTGGGTGGCGCCACGTGCTTTTATGACTTTCTCTGCTCCTGGCATTACCGAGAAAGTGTGGAGAAGTGAGGTTAGATAACCAGGGGCACGTTTCAGTATGTCAACCGAGAAAAAGATATCAGATGTTACAAAGAAAATATCCGAAATGGACACGGAGGAGACGGGGAAGAAACTGACACATAAAGAAAAGAAAAAATTGAAAAAACAACAAGAATATGAGAAAACTATGGAAATGTTAACGAAGACCGGTGGCCAGGGTCATAGTGAACTCGAAAGCAATTTCACGTTGTCTCAAACTCAGACTCAACAACGTACCAATCAACAGTTAGAAAATGCAGTTGATATAAAAGTAGAAAATTTTAGCATAGCTGCTAAAGGAAAAGAACTTTTTACAAATGCTAGCTTGTTAATAGCACAAGGCAGACGTTATGGTTTAGTAGGACCAAATGGGTATGTAGCAACCTTTTAATAACGCAGTATAGTTCCATTATCTCATAATTCTTATTCATCTTTCAGCCATGGTAAAACTACTTTATTACGTCACATTGCAAATAGAGCATTTGCTATTCCACCTAATATCGATGTTTTGTATTGTGAACAAGAAGTTATTGCTGATGATACACCAGCTGTAGAAGTAGTGCTTAATGCAGACATAAAGTGTAAAGAATTACAGGCAGAGTGCAAAAAACTAGAAGAATTGGTAGAACAAGGAGATACCTCTGTTCAAAGTAGATTACAAGAGGTAATTTATCTTTATTTTTTGCTAAGTAAAAATATTCCATTATATTGATATCTCATAGTAGTGTATATTTTATAGGTTTATGAGGAATTAAAAATTATTGGAGCGGATTCTGCAGAACCACGTGCCAGGAGAATTCTTGCTGGTTTAGGTTTTAGTAGAGCCATGCAAGATCGTGCAACAAAAAATTTTTCTGGTGGTTGGCGTATGCGTGTTTCTCTTGCTAGAGCTTTGTTTTTAGAACCTACATTGTTATTACTTGATGAACCAACGAATCACCTTGATTTAAATGCTGTTATTTGGTTGGATAATTACCTTCAGGGTTGGAAGAAAACTTTACTGATTGTTTCTCATGACCAAAGTTTTTTGGATAACGTGTGTACAGATATAATTCACTTAGATCAGCAAAAATTATTTTACTATAAAGGAAATTATAGTATGTTTAAGAAGATGTATGTACAAAAGAGAAAGGAAATGATTAAAGCATATGAGAAGCAAGAAAAACGACTTAAGGATCTTAAAGCTTCTGGTCAAAGCAAAAAACAAGCTGAAAAGAAACAGAAAGAAGCTTTAACTAGAAAACAAGAAAAGAATCGAACAAAAATGCAAAAACAAGAAGATGATACAGCACCTATCGAATTATTGCAGAAACCTAGAGATTATATAGTGAAATTTAGTTTTCCTGACCCACCTCCTTTACAACCACCAATCCTTGGTCTTCACAGTATGTTTCTAATGTTACTGTGTATTATCTCGTACTCTAAAAAGATGTGTTCAAAAATTAATATATTGTTTCAGATGTGACTTTTGCATACGAAGGACAAAAACCTTTATTTATTGAAGTTGATTTTGGAATGGACTTAAATTCTAGGATAGCCATAGTAGGACCTAACGGTGTTGGTAAATCCACGTTTCTAAAATTATTAACAGGTGACTTACAACCAAACAGAGGAGAAGTATCAAAGAATCATCGATTGGTAAGCAAAAATTAAAGTTTGCAAACATGTATTCTAAGATAGATAACATATGCATTACATTAAATTTTATCAATTTCAGAGGATAGGTAAATTCGACCAGCACTCTGGTGAACATCTAACCGCCGAAGAAACACCTTCAGAATATTTAATGCGATTATTCAATCTTCCGTATGAAAAAGCTAGGAAACAATTAGGAACATTTGGACTTAGTTCTCACGCACACACGATTAAGATGAAAGATTTGTCTGGTGGTCAAAAAGCGCGAGTTGCTTTGGCAGAATTGTGTTTAAATGCACCTGATGTTGTAATTTTAGATGAACCGACAAACAATTTAGATATAGAATCTATCGACGCTCTAGCTGACGCGATCAATGATTACAAAGGAGGAGTAATTATTGTTTCTCACGATGAGCGTTTAATCAGAGAAACAGAATGTTGTTTGTACGTAATTGAAAATCAACAAATTAACGAGATCGATGGAGATTTCGATGACTATAGAAAAGAATTGTTGGAAAGTTTGGGAGAAGTTATTAATAATCCAAGTATAGCTGCAAATGCTGCAGTGTTACAATAATCGCATTGGTTCTATAGGACGAAAATTTTCTTAGTGGCCTGCAAACATCTTTTCAGACACAAAAACTCAATCAGTGCATTCGATTTTATGGACTCTTTTCTTTTTTTCTATTAAGATTTTATAAACCTCGCATAGAGATTACAGATTGGTGTTTTAAATGCAAACTATTATTATGCTTTAAAATAGTTGAATTTTAAACAAAATTTGCCTGATAGGGATAAAATGCGTCAATCTTTATGAATATTCGATATATCCACGAAAAAAATTGAATTATTTTAATTGTATATGCTGATCACTGTAATTCTGTACAATAAGTAAAATAATTAATCGAGCCTTTGAAGAAATATTTATATACATCTGTAATCTTTAAGTTCTACAAAGAACTGTATTTTGTCTTATAAATATTTACTTCATGTTAAAACACAAAAAAGAAAATAAAATTGATTTACAAATTAATCTTTAATTCGTGTATAAATATGTACAGTGGAGTCTCATTATGTGTCTTTGGGCAGAGCTATAAAAGTGGAAATTGAATAGATTTCTAAAACTTGAAAATTCGAAAGTTTATAAAGTTCTAAATTTCGCAATATGAAAATTTGAAAATTTAATAGAAGCATGAAAATATCTAAAGAAAAGCAAGTTAAACGCGTCACATAAATGGGAACCATATAATGAGATCGCACTGTATATAAAATTTTTAGCGAAATTTCCTTCGATAAAGATTTGAAAATCTTTCTTATCATAAGTTATTCTAGTGATTTTATCAAATTAGATGATAGTTGGTTCTACTGAAATGCGTATAACCGGCGGCGCAATGTTCGCTGCCAAAAGGGGCAGACGAGTGATGTGAAAATTGTCAAATATTTTGTGCGAGGTGGTGTCCCGCAGTGAACTTGATAGTGTTCTAAAAAATCATCACAATGTCTAGTACGTTGGAGAATAAGATATTAAATTTGCAAGAACGTCTTAGAGCGGAAAATGAATCAAGGGATAGAGATAGACATAACAGCGAGGTTGGATCAGGAACGGGCCTTCAATCGTCATCCTCAGTATCTGTCTCGAGTCCTGCTTCACGACGTGAGTTCCATTTAAATATTGTTTGTATACATAATCCAATTTTTCTCCGACTTATTTTTCAAAGATTTCTAATATAACTTTCTTTGCACCACTTGTTGTACAGGTTATGTTGATCATCACAATTTATTCTGTTGACTCTATATAGGATACTTTTTTGGTCTCCTTATTTAACGCGTAGTTTATTTTATTGTAGCTCTGTCTAAATTAATATTTATACATGGCAGTATTTTTTATTTTGACAAACACATCAAATTTTAATATAAATACAGATATGTATAAATCATTTGCATAAACAAAAACAATGTATTTTTTTACTCAGTAAAGCAAAGATTTCTTTGTATTGATAAAAATAAATATCTTCTTTTGTGTATTAAATAGTTTTGAGTTATTTTTGATTTTCAATACTTTTATTTTTGTTGACATTAAAAATACATTTTGCGTTGCTAACAAAAATTTATGTTTATTTTAATATTACAAAAGGTATTTTATTTTTTCTTTAGTTTCTTTAGTCAATTACTCACAAGAATGATGCTTGATTTTTTAAATACAGCTCCGATTCCAACTTTGAAAGTCTCACAGATACCTCCAAAAAAACAAGACAGTGAATTTGAGTCAAAATTACAAGAAATCATGAAGATGAATGGTATTTTAAATATTAATGGACAGAGGTATCAAACTGAAATGAAAGATTTAGAACATCTTGGTGAATTGGGAAATGGAACATGTGGGCATGTAGTTAAAATGAGGCATAAACCTAGCGGTGTACTCATTGCTGTAAAGCAAATGAGACGTTCAGGCAATGCAGAAGAAAATAAAAGGATAATTATGGATCTTGATGTTGTGTTAAAATCGCATGATTGTCCATATATCGTACAGTGTTTAGGATGTTTCATCACAGAATCGGATGTGTGGATTTGTATGGAATTAATGGCAACTTGTTTAGACAAATTGTTAAAAAGAACCAGACAAGCAATGCCAGAAGAATTTTTAGGAAAAGTTACAGTAGCAGTAAGTATCAAAAAATTTTGAATTTATTTGAATTGTATCGGAGATATTAATTAAAAAAATAATTATCTACTTCCATAGACGGTAAAAGCATTGTCATATTTGAAAGAAAAACATGGTGTCATTCATAGAGATGTAAAACCTAGTAATATTCTTCTTGATGAAAGGGGAGGAGTTAAATTATGTGATTTTGGTATATCTGGCAGATTAGTTGATAGTAAAGCAAAAACTAGAAGTGCAGGATGTGCTGCTTACATGGCTGTAAGTACAGAAATTTGAATCCTTTGTTATAGAAAATGCTGAAAGTGTCTAATAAAGTACTGTTATTATATTTTTTAGCCTGAAAGAATTGATCCTCCAGATCCAACAAAACCAGACTACGATATAAGAGCAGATGTATGGAGCTTGGGTATCACTTTAGTAGAATTAGCTACAGGAGTATTCCCTTATCGAGATTGCAAGACTGATTTTGAGGTAAATTATATGAGTTAACATTGTATAAATAACATTTCGTAATATATTTAAGATAGTCACTGTATCTACTTAAATTTATAGGTATTGAGCAGAGTAGTACAAGATGATCCTCCTTCCCTTCCACCAGATGCACCTTTCTCAAAGGAATTCAGAAGTTTTGTGAGTTGCTGCCTTACAAAAAATTACAAACAACGTCCGAAATATCACAAACTCATGGAACATTCTTTTATTCGAAAATATGATGTACCTCAAGATGAAGAAACAAATTCTTCGGTTCTAAATTCTGGCTGCCAATGGTTTGGCAGAGTAATGCGGCAATTAGAACCAAGGTAAACTGTTAAAAAATATACTTGCTGTAAGCACTAAAACGTAGTTTTCAGGCATTACATAAGGATATTTTTGAATAAAGAGATCTACATGTGACATCACAAAATATAGTAGACACGTGTTATTAGAAAAAAATCATAGAAAATGAATAGAGTTCTAAATATGGCATGAAATTCCCAACTAATATCATAATGATGTGGTTTGGTTTGAAAATAACCGGGTATTATTTTTTTTTTTCTTTTTTTCCATAAGTATTAGTTTTTTAAAATGTTAACACATTTCAACATTTATGGCTAACGGGTAGGTATTAAAACAGCTCGAAAAATGATGTCAAGTTTGAACACTTTTTTTTTTTTACATATTTATGTTTTTACATAAATTTTATTCATTACCAAATGACATTTACAAACCTGTCGATAAATTTCGATTAAAAGTTTGCGTGCGTGTTAAATTGTGTTGCAGCGTTGAGCTTGAGGGAGGCAGCGCAGCATAGCATCCCCTCTCCCTCGCCCCTGCCCCCTTCTCCATTTTCCCCAAAAATTTACCTATAAATTCCAAAAAACTTAAAAAAAATACACCTCACAAATATCCAAAAACTGCCCGATTTTCATTTCGAGTTGTTTGGTTTGTGCACGCGCCTGTTACACACCCCACCCTTCAACCCCCACTCATGGTAAGCATTGTTTTTATTTATTTGAATATTCATTTATTTGTTTTTTATTATTATATAGCGATTTATCGGTGGCACAAATAATTTTCCCTGTGCACACTCCATTCATCAGACAAATAATTTAGTTACATTTATAATTTTATATATTTTTTCATTAAATATTAGATAATGCCATTTGTATATTCTAGTTGTGTTCTATAGCATGCGATATTTTAATCTGTCTAGTTTTGAACACGAACATTCTTTGTCACCTTGAGAATATTCCTCTATCCTCGTCTGTGTTGCATGAGACTATAATTAACGCTCTAACTTCTATTAACGTTCTAGAAACCGAGATTTCTTACAGAAACATCGCTCTACAGTTGTTTCGGGTGACAGTGGCAATCAGAAACGAATCAAGTCATTTTTTGGAAACGAATATTTTACTCGTGAAATTTGAAACGTGCAAAATTATAGTTTAATCTTACGGTAATTTAGTTTCAGATTGCCAGGGTGGCAGCAGAGAGTCACGGGTCATGTGTCTTTAAAACAAACAGCTCATCTCAGGGCTCAATCTGAAGTACCAGCTTTCCTACGAAGCAATGTCACCAAAGACTCGCAGAACTCCAGTTTTTTGCCATTTCATCAACGATCAAATAGTGAGAATGGTGCGAACTACGTATCTTATAGTCCGTACGCGCTTAGACGAAAGGAAATTTCCAGGCCGTTTTCTCCTCCTTCGTCGAACGACGTGGACACATCGGAAACGAATTTTCAACGATCATATTCACCGTATAGACAACACGTCGATCAAAATAGGGATTATTCTTCGAATCATTGTTCTACTAATGGACAAGGTAGACCAGAAGGAAGACCGTTCTCTCCTTATCGACAAGATACTAATGCGATAGACACTGGGAATAGGCTGTATTCACCTTATCATGGACGATTTACCGAAGATCGCGACACCAGTAAAGAAAGATGGCAAGGTGTCTCCAGATCGTTAAGTCCGTTTGCTCGTGATTATTCTCCTTGGAGGAGAGAAAACGTCGATCCTCCAAACGTAATACAACCAACTGAAAGTGGTCGTTATTCGCCGTTTCTTCAACAACGATTAGGACAGACTCCACCCGTGCCTCAAACTCATCCGCAATCACAAGATATTTATGGTAGTCCTATGATTAGTCGTAAAAGGTAAATTTTGATTAAAAGATTTATACGTCATGTACATTATATCATATATATGTATCAGCTACGTTTTTAATATCTATCGTCCATTCATATAGATTTCCTTCAGAACCTCCTCCACAAGGATCTCATGGTTCCACTAGCCCCGAATTATTAATTTCTCGTTTCGCTCATCAATTGAAGCAAGATCCTCCGTCTGTTGCACCGCCAGTTCAGGGTGGATCGAAAGAATCTGCTAAGAAACGTTTCGCTTCTTACGTTCGTCTCAGGCTCGGAAGTGAACGCGCTCCTTCGCCGGAGCCACCGCCGAGATTGAGCCGCGGTGAATCCCCTCTTGCCCTCAGAAGGAATTTAATGGATCCAGCGTCTCCTTCTTTTGCACGAAGGTACTGAAACTTTTCAATTTTTTTTCAATATGCATGAGATTAATGTTTAACCTCGGTGTCTATTTAATTCTCAAGGTACGTTTCATCTTCTCCGCCTCAACCTCCTCCCAGGAGATTGTCAGAAAGCAATTCCGTGCCTGGTAGTCCTCAACATGTACGAGCTCGTCTGCGTTACACCCCTGAACCTCAGAGGAGACCTCCGCCGCCATAACCCACCGTTACGATTAAACCTTATTCCTTGTTGGTGCCATACGCGATAAAAGTAACTGAATTAATCACATGTACCATGTAGAAATGGTGTTATAATCAACGATGGTTGTGCACGCAAGTGACCGGTGCACCAGTGTACTTGAGAAACAGTTTGAAACCAAAAAAAAAAATAATTGTAATACTCTGTGACATCGTGAGTTCTCTTGAAGTGTACGTATTTTTAAAGACTCGGATATATACGTACAATGTACAACACGATTACCAAACATTGAACATTGTTTTTGCAAGCACGGAAAGATAAAAGAGATAGATATTCTAGATTTGAGAGGACGGTCTTTGGGATTGATGATCGCACGATTTTCGTGGCTGTAATGGCGTATCGCGCTAAACTACTTTGTCAATAAACTCTCTTATCGACGTGTATTTATATAGGATGCAATCACCGGATGCAATACGATGCTCAACTTTTTATATTGCTTGTAAAGATATAAATAAATGTAGTATGTTCGACGTTTTTTTCTAAAAAAAAGTAAGACAAAAAAAAGGAAGAGTAAAAAAGGGAAAAAATCAAAAAAGAAAACAAAATCGTTATTAGGAGACGCGGCATCGTACTGAACGCGTAAACCGTTCCTATCATTCTTCGTTTACGCTTCTTTTTTTATCGAGGGACAATTAGCGAGAATTATAAACGAAAACTCGCGTAGAAGTTTTCTCTTCTTCGGGCGACCTTGCAGCGTATCTCTGCAACACGACTTAGTAAAGGCGAACATTTTTCACATTTCATTATTGTTTGTAATATAATAATACCAAACGCGTTACGGCGATCACGACGAAGATCGATCGAGTGGAAAACCAAATCATAAGAACTATTAACGACGTTTCCGTAAGAAAAGCACAATATTCACGTCTCGTAGATTTTACGAGTTTCAACAAAATGTATATTATTTAAAATAAGAGGCGTGTTTGGGCTAGAACGTTGTAATTATTATTTTTAATTAACATTTATTCATTAACTTTGTTCAATCTACACTCGTAATCACCTTTGTCACTTATTTGACAAAAGGATCTGTTGCAATGTAAATAAACTTATATTTATACGATTTTGCTCCCTTACTCTTTTTATTTATTCATCTTGCACCATCTTTTATCTTTTGTCAAGATCATTACTTATTACCTACAATTTATTTTTATCATATGCTGCTGCTGCCACGTAATGCTGAGCAATTTCTTTTTGTCGAGTAGTCATGCGCGCGACTATTGTTGTATCGTAATGGTTTCGTTTTCGTAGCACAAATTTTAATTCTTTTCCATGCATCAATAAAGATACACGAACCGATCGTATTATCGATTCACTGTAGCAAATTAATTATTTATATATACGAAGTATTTCTGCATAATTCGATATAAACGTGGTTTAATTCATATTCAATAACAAAGTAACGTCATTTGTACCTTGGTCTTATTTTTTTTACCACGTGAATGGCGCATATAAAAATGAGAACATCGAATTTTTATTCATAATACATAAATTGATCATTTCAACGAAATATGAATAGAAAATTTATTACTCATTTTTGTAAATATTTAATTGTACGAAAAATAAATTTTTTAATTAGTAAAATTACTATACAGCTAGCTTACGATTTAACCGAGAGCAATGAATTACAGAAGAATTCATTATCTTTTTTGCTTTCAATGTATAGGTTGTATAGACGATCGCGCATTACATAGATATTCATAGTGTTTGTTCCTTGTTGTAATTTATATGGTTGAAAGTTTCTATTAACAAATACAATATACTAAAGATATTGTATAGCTTTCCAAAATTGGGAGGGAGTAGATAATTCGACGCGAAAAGGGTTTGGGTGAGGATCATTTTAAAAATAAATTCATCGCTCGAATCGGCCCGTCCCTGAGCAATCAATATGGCCTCCAGGTCTACGCGGGGCACGCCAGTGTAGCGTAGATATTTCTCTGAAAATCTTCGGAACAAATGGTTTCTGTGATAATAGAATTAGTCAAGCTATTGAAAAGTGTATAAAACGATATTTTCACGGTGTTTGTTTGAATACTAGTGATAGCATTCAGTCAGAACGAAAATTAGAAGGCGTTCCACTGGCGTTATAGCAAGTTGCACTTTACGGAAGACACGGTCGACGTTGGAATACGACTCGGTAGCTGATGGGTGTATAAAAATAATTTCATCGACTGCCAAATTTTACAATGAGCTGGCATTTTAAGAGTAAAGATTTATAGCTTCCAGTTAAAATTTGATAATATGTCGGAGAATAAGAATAAGGAAACTGCCACGATGGAGGGTTGTCAAGAAGGGGACGAAGAGGAAGACATGGCTGCCGATAGGGTCGAAGATAAGGTCAGTATCCAGCAAATCCTCGAGGGTATGACGAATGAATTTAACAAAAGCGTGAGTCCCGTTAAAAGCGCAGAAATTAATCGATCAGAAAAATCGGATCACGAGGAAATTGAAAAACCGGCCGCGATTCTTGATGCGACATCGACAGTCGAACAAGAATCCAATGGAGATAAAAATGAAGAAATTATTTCGACGAAACAAAATGTTGTGGAATCAACACCATCCGATGAAAATTGTAAAGACGACGAAAATATTGGGAAACAAGAAATTTTGAAAAAAGATAATGGAATTCCACGTATTGTCCTCACATTTAGGACAATCGATGAAAATACAGATCATGGTAAAAAAACAAAGATTTCAAGCTGTTCCTCCAACCTTACTTTAGTTCCTGACGAATTGGCAAACTGTGATCAAATTGGCGGTGTGTCTGTCAAGATAGAGAACTCGGATGAGAATTCCGATACTGTTGAGAAATCAGATTCAGAAGAAGGTAGGATAGAAGAGCCAGTCAAAGATTCTGAGATCAAAGAACCAGAGAAAAATACAGAAGAAACAGAGACATTGAAGGAAGATGTGAAAGTAATGGTCGAAGAAAAAGCTGTTGTTCCTGATGAAAAGACTAAAACCGCAGAAGCAGATGTTTCGGTGAAATCTACTGAGCAAATTGAACAAACAAATAGCACGGTTCCTGTTACTAGGAAAAGAAGAACAGGGCGACCTAGATTAAGGGCACTTAGGTTTTTTGCTTTCCTTCATCTCAAATTTATAAAATCATTATGCACGACATTTGTAAACATTCTGTAACATTTTTAGCGACCACACAGAAGAACCTCCTGGTCCTAAACGTTCAGCCAGAAGACTGTGTAAAGAATCATTGAAGAGTACTGTATTAGAGAGTGCGATGGCAAGAAAGGAAAAGTCTAATTATACGGAAGAAAATCTGCAGTTTAAAAAACAGAGGAAGTACAATAAACCAGGGAGACCAAAGAAGGTGATGCAAGGAAAAGATCAGAATAAACAAGCACAAGCTAAACCTCCTGACATACGTCAGGAAGTGGAAGCATCAATTTCTGATGGGAATATTACTCTTTCTGAGGTAAACTCAACATTAGAATGCTCTAGAAATTCCTCCGTATCAGAAAATAGCGCGAATGAGACAATCCTGGATGAATCTCAAAATTTTTCATCTGACTTTGATGGTATGCCAAAATTGTCTCCTATGATAAAAAGTTCAGAATCACAAACAAAATTGTGTAATTCAATTGGCAGTCCAACAAGTGACGATATACCTTTAGCAGACATTGAAAAGCCATTTCTAAAGCCTGCCACTGGTAGACCTAAGAGAGAAAGGGGACGTCCTCGGGGAAGTCAAGCTGCCAGAAAAATAGCAAAAGTGGATTCATTTGAAGGTATGAAAATGAATGTATATAAGTAGAAAATAAAACTGATAATGGCATATACAAATACTTTGTTTTAGATGGATCTGTATCTATAGCAGAAACAGGCAAAAATAATGATTATCCTGAAGGTAATACTATAGATACACTATGTATATTTCATTCATAGAATAATTACTTTTCCTATATTTTTTCTAACTTGTACTTAATTTTCTAGAAGGCACTGTACCTGCTAAAAGAACAAGAAGAAGTATGGCTCCGAGTCCAAGTCCTGCAGAGGGCCAAGCCTCAAAACCAGAATCAACTGCAATTATGAGTGAAGTTAGTATAAAGTGTATATAAATTAGCTACTTATTCATCATTCATGCTATATTTAATATTCATCATATATTTTAGACATATGGTCAGTCAATGTTATGTTTGTGTCAAGTGAGGTCTCAGCTGTATGTAACGATAACTGGTTCTGGGGCACCATTGTATTGCACCGCAATAGATTCTATCGACAATAGATTAGTAGGATGTTGTAACGAAGTTGATAGTAATGACGTAGCGATGAGGAGACCTAGTACTCGTGTCCCTTTTATCATTTTGTGTCGAATGCATAAGGAAAGACTACTAAGGCATAATTGCTGTCCTTCTTGTGGACTTTTTTGCTCTCAAGGAAGGTTCGTACAGTGTATTAACGGTCATCAGTATCATCGCGAATGCGAGATTTATCCAAATAAGAAAGGAGTATGTCCACATTGTGGAAATGAGAGTACACCGTACGACGTAATGGTCACAATGAGTGGCCTAAGGAAACCTGTGTTCATTCCGACACGAAAGAAATTTTCAAAACTGCCTTCTGCGAAAATGAGTTTGCCAGGGAAAGGTGACAATACGAAATTAGCAGAACGCCCTCCTAGTCCTTTAATTCAGCCAGATATTATTAAGATACCCGAGCCATCTGTTAACACCGAGAGACCAGAACGATATACTATCATGAGTCTTTACACATCTGTAAAGAACGGGGATTTAGAAAAATTGGTTAATGTTTTAGGTGTGTTAACGTACTACCTTTGCTTTCCTCACTTTATTAACAAAGAAAGAGAACTCATAAAATCAATCTAACTTTTTAGCATGTGGATACAATGCAAATCATACATTCCGAGATTACGCACATCGAACTGGCCTTCATATAGCTGCGGATAAAGGTCACTTATCTTGTGTGCATGTACTAGTACAAGCCGGTGCTCAATTAGACGTGATGGATAGAAATCAGTTAACGCCGTTAATGTTAGCTGCTAGCAAGGGCAAAGCCGACGTGGTCAAATATTTAATAAGAATAGGCGCCGATGTTACGTTAAAAGGAGAAGATGGTATGACTGCTTTGCACATGGCTGCTAAGTCTGGACATTTGAATGTTTGTCGAATAATATTAACGGAATGTAAAGCACCAAGAACGTTAGTAGGTAATTAAAATTTTATTTCATATCTAATTCGTGTTATTACATTTGATTCAATTTAATACTGTGTGTAAGAGTAATCGTTTGCATCTCGTTAGATTCGGTGGATGATGGTGGATGGACAAGTTTAATTTGGGCATGTGAATTTTGTCATACCGAAGTTGCACGATTTTTACTAGATAAAAGGTGTGACCCTTTGATTCGAGATGCCGAACAAAATATAGCGTTACATTGGAGCGCTTTTAGTGGAAGTTCAGAAATCACGGAAATGTTGCTCAACGAGGGTTGTGACGTGAATGCCGTCAATGTTCATGGCGATACTCCTCTGTAAGTTCGTTGTTCGCTACTTTTATTATGTAAGTGATTTTTCATTTATTGTACCTAATATGTTACAGACACATAGCAGCAAGACAAGATCAGTATGCAGTTAGTGTTCTGTTATTAGCTCGAGGCGCTAAGATAGGAGAAACTAATGCAGCAGGAGAGACTGCAGTAAATTGTTGTACAAATGATGGTGATACCATGTCTGCTTTAAGATTGAATGCCAAAGTTAATGAACTTTCTGAACATATGTGGGAGAAAACAGTAAAAATTTTAACTAAGTGACTATCAAATTTTTCAAACATTTTTCTTTCTCGTTGAATAATTTCTGTGAAAATACATTTAATGATTTACAGTGATATTTCTCGTGGTAAGGAAACGAATCCTATTCAGTGTGTTAACGGGTACGATTCAGAAGATAAACCAACAGATTTTCTTTATGTGACTGAAAATTGTTTTACCAGTAATATACACGTCGATCGTACGATAACGTCCCTACAGTCCTGTCGATGCGAAGATAATTGTAGTTCAGAAAAGTGTTTATGTGGAAATATAAGTTTGAGATGTTGGTACGACGAAGAAGGAAAATTGATACCGGAATTTAATTACACAGGTATGTAGAATACGTATAATGAATATTATGTATAATGGTATATCATATTGAACACATGATGATTTAATGCATGAAAATAGAATATATGAAGGAAAATTAGGTGAATGGATCATGTAAAAGGAAGCCGTATAACGAGACTACATCATTTATAAAAGACCTATAACAAACGCAAAATTCTTTATTTTCTTATTTAGATCCTCCAATGTTATTTGAATGTAATCCAGCGTGCGACTGTAATCGTATAACGTGCAATAACCGAGTTATACAGCATGGTTTAACGCAAAGGTTTCAATTGTTTCGAACTAAAGGTAAAGGTTGGGGCCTTAGAACATTACGACACATTCCTAAAGGTTCCTATGTATGCGAATACGTTGGCGAAATTATTTCTGATTCCGAAGCTGATCATCGAGAAGATGATTCTTACCTGTTCGATTTAGATAACAGAGTGAGTAATCGAATATTTAATAGACGAACTCGTGTAAACCCATTGTTTTTATTCTTTTTTTCTGTGCGTACAGGATGGAGAAACATATTGCATCGACGCGAGACGTTACGGAAACATTGCTCGCTTTATAAATCATTCGTGCGCGCCTAATCTCTTGCCAGTGCGAGTATTTGTCGAGCACCAGGATTTACACTTTCCTAGGATAGCATTTTTTGCGAACCGCGACATCGAGGCAGACGAAGAGCTCGGGTATGTTAAAAAAACAAACAAAGAAAACGATTGACACGTGAAAATAATAGCACATGTACATGTTAGCGAACAACGTTTCATGCAACCTTTTTTGGTTAATAAACCATTTTCACCTGTGGTTTTGGTTGGCTAATCGTTCATTCGTCGCTGACATAATTTTAGTTTCTTCACCTTGTTCTATTTCTTTAATACTCTGCTTTGCTCTCTTTCCAACACATGTGAGCTTTGATATTGTTTCCGCATCGTAAAATAGATGAAGTGACTTTATCGAGTACGTGATATTTATTACCTTATTTTCCTTTTCTATCGTTAAGTTTGGGAATGGTAAGTTGGTTCGAATTCGTATTTTGCATCGCCGAGGAAGAATGTACATATTGGATTATTTATTATTCGAACACGTTTGAAGGTCTTTCAAGAAATGTATATACATATTTTTCGTTGTTATTCTTGAACATCGATTTTTCATTAATATCATGCAATTTAACACCGAAGACCAATACGGAATTGTTTGCCTTCAGCTTCGATTATGGAGAGAAATTCTGGATAATAAAATGCAAGTCATTCACGTGTACCTGTGGAGCCGAAAACTGTCGATATTCCGAGAAGACTATACAAGTTACTTTGGACAACTATCGCAGAAAAATGCAGCAAGAAGAAATGCTGGCAGCTCAATCGTCGTAATCCTAAATCAATTTAGCTAATTTTATTGTAATCTAACTAAATTGTTATTTAATGTTCTTCCTTCATATTGCTTGGAGTGCTAACGGAGAATCTCTCAAGTTGTTTTACTTCATTTGGATTGATCTTTGCAAGTTGGTCGTGAAATTGAAGAATCGCAAGTACAAATGGTGGTGGGATTTGAACGCGTCGAATGGACAATTGAAAACGAAAGAAATAATTGTTTATTCGACTTAAGAAGGAATTACTCTTTTTCTATTCCAGTTCGACAAAATCGAGCACATGTCCATATTAATTTACCAATTAATTTCTTCGATGTATTTTCCTACATTTGCCGACTTTCTTGTAAAGACAAACAATAGTCTTTACGAGATGTGCCACTTGATCGTTTTTTCTTTTTAACGAGATAATGATACGCATAATATATAATTGTTATAGTTTTCGTATAGAGTGTACGAATTGTAAAGAAACGTGTGTTGTTTTATAATCATTATAGTCCTCGAATGAAGTGTGTGGTTAGGTAGAGATAAATTAATTGCGTATTTACGTCGCGAATGGTGTGTGCATGAAACTCTTAACGGATTTCGTGTCACGATTGAAGTTACGAGTTTAATATTTGCCTAATTAATTTCAGAGGGCAATTGTTTGCAAACGTTTGTTTCATTACAAACGTTTTAGAACGTAAGAATACACCGTTTTGTACAAATTACTGATTTTTTGTATAATAAAGAAGATGTAGTTCTTTTTAATGTAATGTTTTTGTCATTTCCAGTATATATATATATACATATTTGATTTCAAGATATACGCCTGATGCGATCTTTAATTTTACTGGATCGATCTTTTGTTTGATGAAATCGTGATAAAATAACCTTTTTTTAGTCGATCCAGTAGATGGCGCTAGATGGTTCGTTTTTATAAAAATAAAACCTCGAAAACAAATGTCTTATTGTATTAAAAATCACGCGATATTTAGATTTGATTTGTATTATTCAATCAAGTTTGTAATATATTTTGTTACATTATGTTCTTATAACGATATTCCCTTACAATTTAATTTCATTAGGATATAGATTCATCTATTTAATTATTTTAGTTATACGGTTTTAAATATGTTATGTATTAAAGATATATAATATTTGAATACATAACATACTATTTATTATTCTTGAAACTTGAGTAGTACGATTATTTAGTACATTTCTATTTTATCGACGCAGTTCTTTCCGTTCACAACTGATGGTCATGCTTATCCATTGCTGGCTTTGCAAACTTTCATGAGTTGACACTTATTTTCGCAAACCTTTTGTAACCTATCAGGCAATTAGGACCCTACACTTTATAAGGTTATAATTAAATTGTATAATTTAGTTTATTAGCATTAATTGTTTACATTGCTATAATACTGTTGGCACCAATTGTAGCGACCATTTCAAAAATAGAAAATCTGAGCTTTATTTACTTATGTACATTGTAATCAAACGAGTTTACGAATGAAACAAGAATAAATAAACTAAACATTTGTGTCTTTTAAAAACTTTTCTGAGTTATAATGCATTCGGAAATAATTTCCCATCGTTATTCAAAGTGACGCTATATTAGTGAGTTACTCATTGAGTTCTATTTTAATTGCAATCTTGCAGGTAATTATTATTATTCGTAAAAATTCGAAATGCCTTTCTTTATTTATTGTAAAATAAAAAATGTTCCGAAAACTTGATCACATCACTGTACATTTCTTTCTGCTGTCATAAACATACCAGCAATACATCAATCACCGTATGCCTTCCATTTATATCGCAATAAAAAGGATATGATCATCAAATGTTTCATCCGTTGTGAAATATGCATATGCTCTATGAATCGAAACAACCAGGACACATTGATTTTTAACTTTTTCTTTATATATCGACGTTGCTAGAAGCTTGATAGTGCAGTGAAACGTGGAATCATATTTAAACATTCGTGAAAGGTGCACAATTCGGTCGTCGCGGCGTCGGCGAGACCGTGCGTTGATTGGTGGGGGAAACGGGATGACGCAAGTTGATCGCTGATTGGTCGTTTCGCGGACCGCGGTCGGGGTAGTCGAAATTCAAGCGGAGAAGCGGCAGTTAGTGTAGCGACCGTCGAGCGCGTGTAAGCGCGATGCGTAGCTGCGTAGAATCGTAGTGTCTTTTTTTCTTTTAATTCGTGTTGTGCATTCGCGACAGCATTTAATTACGACATTGTTTATTTATCTTTGGTTTCTTCTACGGCACGCGCGGTTTTCGATCTCGTTTTACTTTTCTTTCCTTATAAAAATATCGTTAACTATGATACATCGCGGTGTCACGGTGACACATTCAGTGACAGTGAATTAGTGGTGGTGAACGTCATCGAGCAACGATTATTATGATGACCAGCTGACGGATAGATTACTCTTTCGCGTCTCTACGGCGTCAACGGGGTTGTCAAAAATACTGGAAGGTAAGTTTTTAATTGTCCTTTTTTTCTCTGCTGAACAATTTCGTCATTCGTTACACTAAAATTATTAAAGTCGGTAATGGTGGAATTAAAATTATAGGAATAAATAAGATAATTTTGTAGAAATTCAAAATAATTTTTTATTTTATTTGTTTATATTATTACCGTTTAGTAAAGTATTGGTCGTTCGTTAGTTAATTGGTACATTTTAAAATAAACGAAGATTCTAAAAAAATACGCAAAAAACAAATTTCAAAAAAGTTGATTGGCTTTAAGAGAATAAAATCGTGTAAATTGTAACGTTAACAAAAATCAATTCTAACATCATTAGAGAGGTCGAAGAACTTGAAATGCATCAATGGTGGAAAAGTACACGAGAGTCACGATTGTTTGATTTAATTGCGCGAACCGCTGTGCTCCGATTACTGATTATATTTGCTTAACGTTTGGAAACGTATATTTTATTTTATTTTTCTCTACGTAAACACGTTGAATATCGACTTAATTGCGTATGACTTCCTCGTGACCCAGAATGACATATATTTTTTCCGAATCCCGAAGTATCCAACCGCGAATAAAAATTGCTCCCGCTTTGTAAGAGATTACTTCGAATAAATGATTAAAATATCTTATTAGTATTACTTTCAAATCTCCGCGTTCATTAACGACTTCGAGATGAATAAATATTTCATTTGAAACGTGTCCAGAAAAATTTCGTGATATAAGTTACTATTCTTCCCACGCTTATCGTTCGATCGCGCTTTATCGAGCATCTAAATGGCTGTAGAAATAAGAAAACGCCACAATAAAAAAATCACACCGATTTCGTCTCGAATAATCTTTATTTAGATCCAAGAGCCGAACACTTGGTAGGGGGTCGTTCCGATTATCGAAGAGGATCTTCGTGTTAGCGGGCAAACACCTCTGTTCTGCCGGATGTACAAGAGAAATTACGTGTGCATGTTTTAGGGTTGTATACGAAGAAAGCAGACCGTAAGATCGTAATCAAAAGGGGAAAGCATTGGCTTTCGCGTGCACGCATTCTTCGAATAATCTTTCCTCGATTCGTTTCTTCTAGATTAGCATGTTACGCAGAAAACGTTCGCAACACTATCGCGTGTAATATCGTAACATTGCGTATTCGTGATTTTAATGATACATTTCTCGCGCTATTATCCTTTATCATATTTTTTATTTATAACAGCGATATGGGAATTAATAACATCGTACATTGAACGAAACCTTTAAACACGATTCTGTTATTAACCTTTATCTTGCGTTGTATCGATACTTGTTTTTTTTTAGTATTCAGTTGTATTGAACTCGTAGCGTTGGTCAGTTCATATTGAAATAAAATAATCCGGATCGACGGGAAGTAGACTTCGTAACGTCGAATTTTTGCAAACGTTACGAACTATTCCATGAGCCAGATACGCTTACAAAGAGTGCCCCTCAAACTTGTCGCATTTCACGAGAATAAAAAGGAGACAAATTCGTTTCTTCTAGCGGGACGAAGATATTAGTACACGACAAACCACGGAAAATATCTTTTACGTTTTTTTTAAGAAGCTTACTCGTGAACGTGGAACACGAAAAATCCACAAAAACTGGTAAATTCCCTTTTTGTAAGCACAGCAGAAATATTCTGTTTCTCAAGATCGTCAAAGGAAGTCGAGAGGTACGAAGCATCGGAGCCAAACGACCTAATCAATCCTTTTAACGTTCGATTCTCTGAAATGTATGCGAAAGGACCGTGCGGAATCTGTCGACGCAATATTTTCAGGATAAAAACGCAGCTTCGTTATGTTGCTTTCAATAAATGAGTGTTATGAAATATTGTTATCGAACAAATGTATTGTTGTACTGCGTTTTTATTTCGAAGCACGTACAACGTAACGCAAATACTTCATTTGAAATAAAAGCCAAAACTTTTATCACGGCAAATGGAATTGTTTTGGTTGCAATCGAAAAATCAAATTTTGATTCATCAAAATATCGTATTCGATTATTAATCGTAAAGCAAGAATGCTAGCTTACGAACGTTTTATAATTACGTAGATCATCCATCCGCAAAGTTGAACAAACGTTGCACCCCGACGTACCGGGTCGAGTAGGGTTGGATCGGATCACGTAAAAGTAATTTTGCAATCCATTTATTCATTATAGATAATCAAGTTAATAAATTTAACAGGTTTCAGAAACTAAAATACGAAAATAGCTATCGTTGAACGTTGCAAACTTTAGGATACTTGCCTCTGATATTGTTCATTTATAATAAATTGCTAGCAACTATGTATTACCACGTAACTATGTATTATGTCTGATGTAAATTCAACGATATTTATATTTTCATTAACGGTAAGTTCGTTTCAGCAACGGTATTAAAAATTTTCAAACATTTTACATTTTTAAGCTCTTACATCTTTTGCGAAAAGCAGCATCAGAATGTATATACTTACCTAAAAGGAAATATGGACGGAACACTTTAACGAAAGTAGTCGACGTTGAAAAGTACAAGGAGAGAGACGGGTTAATAAAAAAAGTAAAATTTTTAATGAAACTTTGATAGAGTGAGCTTTAACGAAAGGAAAACAGGCGTTTCGTTGGTGGTACGGTTACAAAAGCTACTCGTATTTCCGTGCAATCGTTCTACGCAAACTTTATATCCGCTTTCAGAGTCACGAATCTATTCAATCACATTGGCACATGTAAGGCTGCTGTTGCCAGACGTTGTAATCGACTCTTTGATACTGGGTAGTTCCGGGGTTTGTGGCCGTATAATTCAAATACCTTTTTCCTAGCGAATACATTTGTCATTTTCCCTTGTCGCATCGAATTTTCGAAATTAAAACATATATCTCGAGTTAAATCAATGCATACGAAATTGCGAATAGTTAACACCGCTTTGCCTCTGTAACGAACAGTGGTATTTATTTTACAAGGTATCGAGTTAACCCGAATCGATATTCATCGTTCTCGCAATTCGTCGATTGAAACACGAAACGTAGCGTATTGAAATTAATTTATTGATCAGATGAAATTTAATTAGCTGTTCGACGAATCCCGTTTATTCTTTTGTCGTGGTAATTATACTACGATACAATATTCTAAAATTAATTGGCGTATTCGTTAGTTATTACACGATGCTTACTCGTACGATAATCCGGTAAAATGAAATTGTCACAAAGTGACGAGAGGGTAGCTAAACTGGATTGTTCAGGTGTCGTTAATCAAATTTGACGATCACGTGGTGAAAAGAAAGGGATTTGTACAGCGGTGCGCAACAAGCAGTCGTGCTCGTTACGATTAGCTTAAGCTAGTAACTTCAAGTTTAACAACGTAGCAATGCGATGAAAATGTATTTATTACGTATACAGGTAAATTTGACTACTATTAAGTTAAACGATCAGAAAGTGTTAAAGGGATGAAATCAGAGAGACTCCGTTTCGCGGTAATCTACAATTTCCATAAAGTTCTGGAGGGTAATTATGTAAAGTCTCGTTTGAATCAATCAAAGCATTCAGATATGTTAATTGGGAACATAGATAGAGAGATTCAGTAGCATTTTAATAATCGCGTTTTCGGATTAGATTCGTTTAAAATTGAAATTACTGTAGTTTATTAGTTGGATTATTTATAATTGGGCAAACAAGAAGAGAAGCCTGCGTATTGATTTTCACGTTGATTATAAGGGACAGGAGGGTTTGTCCTCTATTCTAGGACGAGCTTATCGCAGTCGAATACTAATTTCGGTGTTCGGTCGTTTGGAATAGCGATCAGGAGTCGTCAAAAGCGTTTCGAAAGGTAGGCCATCGGACAAACTCGATGGTTCTAGATGGAATCGAATTACGCGCAATAGAATGGGCAGGCTGTGAACTCCATTGGCTACCGTTTTGATACCAGTTCATTCGTCAGGGGGTAATTATGAAATGGATCGGCTTATCTGTGCGCAATTTCATCCGGAATTAATCTTCGCTCTCTGCAGAACATCGGAGCTACTTGTATCATCGATTTGTATCGCTATGCGCGAAACGATTCGAAGGAAAACAATTTTATCTGTACAAAGGATCGAGTTGTCTGCGCGCGGTCGTACGATAATATTTTCGTTTATTTATACGAACTATGAATCTCATAAGAACCTTGTTTATAGAACCTTTAGCGATCCGGAAGGATTTACAGGAGATGCTTCGATTGTAAGGAAACTTCGTAGGATAACACGATTATCGTGACACTGTCTCCCACAGAATCCTCCAACTTTCCTGGCAAACGTAGGAAACTTCAATCACGGTAGAAACATTCCGGATAACAAGAATCTCTAATCTAAATCGGACTAATTGATCTTTGGGTTCTTTAACTCTATCTAGAGACATTCATATTTTTGCCATGAGCGTTGTATTAATAAAAATAGTTGGCCGATTTCTGTCGGTGTTCATATTTCCACGCTTGATCTATAATGGTTTTCCGAGCCAAGAAGATGTTGGTCCTTTGCATAATCCCAAGTTTCGCGTGGGTAGCAATTTAATCAAGGAATCAGTGATCGCGATAGTTAACCAGGAAGAATTTTCTAAAACGAAGTCTTCCAGACATTTTGCTATGTAGGGCGGATTGTCGGCGCCAAGGAGTCGGAACTTTTCCCGAATACTACTATGCAACCACTATGCGTTCATGCGACACTGTAGATTTACGATACGCCAATTGTTATCGAGAGCGAAAGAACGAGACACTGGAACAGATTTGGGTAACCCGATACTTCTGCACAAATGTCAGGGGTAGTAACTTCGAAGGGTGAAGTAAAATATAACAAATCTCGCGTTGATCCTAAGAAGATAGAAAAGAAAGTCTTCTTTTTAACGTCGCGCTACTCCTACGATCCATTGTGATACGATTATATTTTCTGTACTCTTTTCTCGTCTTACATTGTCAAATCGCTTCGGACTTTATACGCTTCAAAATCGAATACCGTTTCTGCAACTGGTGATCGTTGATTGAAGTTTGAACTTTAA